GGTGTTTGGTTTATAACCAAACGCTGCCTTCTCAATGTTTCCTGTCTTTCAGTACTAATGGCTTCACTTTAATTATATCCATAATGACTAATTAATATTATTTATTATTTCTTCGTTTCATTCGTCAGTGGTATGTATATGTATATATTTTATTTCGAAAGAGCAACATATCAGGAGGAAAGAATAACATTAAATTTTCATTTGTTTGTTATTTGCTGAAAGCCAGCTTTTGAAACAAATGCCTCCTTCTGCATTTCCCTATTAATTCAAATGTTTATAAATAACAATGCAAAGCTCATTATTTTCCCTGGAGACAGTTCTGTTGCTTGCTGTTGTCTTCCAAGTTTAATAGGTATATTCCACCTCTGAATAATTACCAATTTAAAACCAACAACAACGAAAAAGCAGCCAAGGATTGGAAAACAAAACTTTCTTGGGTTTAAAACAAAAAATAAAGGTCAAAACTTGCACTGCATTTTAGTTCTCAAATGGAAAGCTAGAGATGGATGGATCAGCTTATTTCCAGGCCTGTGTGAATTTCACATGTGATTATTCATAAGTCTGTTCTGTCATGTGTTTTGTTTGTTTGTTTGTTTCAAACACATTTTTCTACTTATTCTTTTAGCTGAGAATTGCACCCCAAATCTCAGGTGTGAAATATGGTTCATCCAGGAGGTATAGCCAGTACACTTCAGAGTGTATCAGAATTCATGCACTCAATGTCACCCACATGTTCCATCGTTTGAAAAGGGCCATAGATCACTGGTGCTTTTCATGAAGGAAGCCCACTTTCAACCCCAAACATCTCCAGTCAGTGTCAACAATACTGAGTTAGGCGGACCAACGTTCTAACTTAGCCTTTATTTACCTCCCCCCCCAAAAAAAAATATTAACGAAGACAAAAGGAAAAAAAATATTGTTAAAAAATAAACAATGATCATGATTACATGTGGGGAGAAACCATCAGATCAATTTCACGTAGGGTTGCCCCACCTTTGGTCAGGTGAAATAAGGGACAAGTCAGGCAAATATGGGACAAGTCAGGTGGGAGGCTAAAATTTGATTTACCTGGTGCAGAAATGACTTCAAAGCAATCCCTCACCCTCCCTCCTCTCCCCCCCTCATCTAAAGTCACTCAAATTTTTCTCAGCCCCGCCCCTACATTCCATCCCCAAATACTTGCCCGTCCTTGGAGGGCCACCAGGGGGCGCATTGGAAGATGGCCGACAATAACATCTCTCCAACCCACATGAGGTAATTAATAGGCTGCTATGGGAAGTATGCAGCCTTCCCGGCCCTCCCAAGGGGATGGGGGGGACTGCCTTGCCAGTGGTGTCCATAATTCACCCCCGGATTCGAAAGAAGGGGTTGCGGACACTTGGCACAAGCCCTCGTCTGAAGTCGGCTCTTCCTGATGCTATCTCCAATCAGCGCACTGGTTCGCTTTGGCTTGAAATATATAATTGGAAATACATAATTGGAAAGAAGCTAAAGCACATACATCAAGCGAAGATCGGGAGAAAGACTGCTGATTAATGGATCTCTGTGAGCGGAGCGACGGGCGGGACAAATAAATCAAGTGAGGAATCACCATTAAAAGACTGGTATGTTTGGAGTAAAACAGAAAGGGGGTGGAGGAAAAAACTTTTCTTTTATTTGCCTTATGTGAGTATTAATAACCCTCCACCCCAGAGAGAAGAATCGTTGCAGTTTATTAATCACAAGCAGGAATTCAAGAACTGTGTGGAGTGAATTATTGATCAAAGAGAGGATTGGTAAACATCAGAGAACGGAGGAAAGTTTTATGATGCAGTTTCAAATGGCATCTTGCTAAGACAGGCTTGCCTAAGAAGGACGGGGGGAGGAGGACCAGGGTCATCGGAATGCGAATGGTTATTGGAATGTGATCTAGACCTGGCAGAGCCCTCGGAGATATGTTTGGCAAACCTGGGGAAATCAATGGACAGACTGAGGGAAAGTTCTTTACGGAGGTGTGGAAATGGCGTCTGTCCTTATGTGATATGATTTTTTGAGAGTGTAAAACCCCCACAGAGGATGTTTGTTTCCAACCCGCTTGTGAAGATTATCAGAGATCACAAAGAAAGGAATATATGATAACAACAAGAAGATGAGGAAAGTAACAAAGAGACTATCTGGACAGAAGTGGATAGAACTGTCTAATTAAAGCAGCAATATAAGTGAGGTTTGGACCCCGTTTCGGAGCTTGTAGTATGGGTACCCCCAACAAAAATTTAAAAATCTGGCTATATAATTTGGAACTAATGTGATTCGTAAATAATGTGATTTGATTGGCCTGTTAATAAAAAATATATTTTTTTAAAAAAAATACTTGCCCGTCCTCTGTGGCCATCCATTGGGCCACAGCTGCATCAATCACTGGATTTAGTGTAACAGGGAGGGGTAGGGTAGGGTAGGGAAGGGAAAGGAAAGGAGAGAGAGAATGGAGAAGGGAGGCAATGGTGCTGGTAGAGATGGGAGGGAGGAAGGAGCTGAGCTCAGCACTCGCCTCAGCCGAGGAGGAGCCAAGAAGAAGAAAGTGAGGCAGAAATAAGGGACACAGCATTTCTCCTTGAGATTCAGGACAATCCCTTGGAAATGTAATGAAACTGAAGGTACATTCTTTCACCTTTGGTGGACATGCCCAAAGATTAAGGCTTTCTGGGAGATGATCTATAATGAAATGAAAAAGGTATTTAAATATACCTTCCTGAAGAAACCAGAGGCCTTTCTCCTGGGCATGGTCGGCCAATTGGTGCCAAAGAAGGATAGAACTTTCTTTATGTATGCTACAACAGCAGCAAGAATACTTATCGCAAAGCACTGGAAGACACAAGATCTACCCACCAGGGAAGAATGGCAGATGAAGTTGATGGACTACATGCAACTGGCGGAAATGACTGGCAGAATTCGAGATCAGGGAGAAGAGTCGGTGGAAGAAGATTGGAAAAAATTTAAAGTATATTTACAGAAACATTGTAAAATCAATGAGTGTTAGAAGGATGCTGGAATGAAGCTATATGGTTTTAGTAGAAATGTAACAAAGAATTAAGTAAAAGCTGATTGATAACGGGCCAAAATGAAAAAAAATTAAGGTTAGACCGTTAAGATAAATTATAGAACAAAAATTGAGAAAGATGGAAAGAATTTGCTGAAATAGTGAATTGAACTAGAATACAAAAAAAGGGAGGTGTGAGGAGGTCTATGAAACAAGTAAAGGAAAGGTAAAGATATGGAATATTGGATGTGTGTGGTTTTTTTCTTTTTTCTTGTTTCTTTTTGCTGTATTGTTGAATTGCTTTTTTATGTTTTCTTTTTCTTTTTTATTGTTGTCTGTTTTTTATTTTTTCTGTAATCTTTAAACTTTTAATAAATATCTTTTTTTAAAAAAAAAAAGAGAGAGAGATTCAGGACAATCCCTTCTTCTGAGGGACAGGTGGCAATCCTACCAATGATAAGATAACTCTGTGTTCCTATGCTGTGGCTCCTCTAGCTACAGAAGTTGGGGAATGGGGCACATGTCTTGACAGTGGTGGACAATAACATTTGAGTGTTGATCGCACAATAACATTGTCATTTCAGATAAAACTCCCTCCTTTAGTTCTGCAAAAAGGCTCGGGTTTGTGTGTGTGTGTGTTTTACTCCCCCACCTAACACATGCGCGCGCACACACACGCACACACACAATCCTATGAAACTTCTAGACGAGCTACCTGCCAATAGGAATTCCAGCATCATTTCCAAGGGAAAAGGAAACTGTAAATCTCTCTGCAATTCTGTTTATAGGACATATCCCAGGAGGATTTCGGAAATTCAAGAATGCAGATTATACAAAATGAGAGCAGTGGGGATCTGAAGCACTTTGGCTGGGGTCCCAACTTTCTAGAGCAGCAGAAAAGTGCTGTGAAGAAAGAACGCCATAAAAAAAACTGAATTGTATTTGTATCCCCTTGCAAATATAGGTGATATTTTGTGTTGCGTTCTCCTAAAAAGCAAAATCTGTAGAATGAATCCGGAAACTAGAGGACTGGAAGAATGCAGGCGCCAAATGATGACCAAAGGCTGCATTCTCTGCTGGTTTCTGCTAAATATTTTCATGCCCAATTAATCTAAGTCAGGAGAAGAATTTTAAAACAATCCTCCCCAAATTATTATTTTTAACTGGCTGCCTAAGTCTATGCTTGCTGGCTGTCAGTGCCTTATACAGGAGCCGAGACGGAGCTGAATTATGCCTGAGATTAATATATAGGGGGCAGTTCAAGGGTTAGACAAACAGCTCTTCCTGAAACAGCCTCACTACAAAGTTGAACTGTTCATTAGAGGGGCAGCTAATGGCTGAGCCAGAATTCCACTGGGGCAACATTTTATTTGTTTCTGATTGAGAGATATCCAACACTGACTCCATGTTCCTCATGACCTCTATAGCTGGGCCAGAAGGTTGAACTTGTGGAGCCAGTGTGTATTTCCGTCTCTGGGAAACACACAAACACACACATACACCCCTCCACTGACTCAAAAGCTCATCTGCAAAATGTAGGCCTTAGAAATGTTACACTGGATGGAGAGTGTTTTCAAATCACCCCCCGTTTTCCAAATAACATCAAAGGTAGACAAATCAGTCCATTTTAGGTTTCTTTACATGTGTTCATTTGTCAGTCAGCTTTGTCTCATTTCCGCAACTTGGGAGCAGGGAGAAGGAGCAGAATCTTCATGAAAATTCACATTTAAATGTCTTTGATCAATTATTTTCTCCCACAGTTCTGTGCATTTATCTCTCTCTCTGAGCCAAGACCTGTGTCAGAACTTTTGGGAAGGGTGGCAGGAGATGCAGATCAGGTCAATTTTTCTTGGAATTCACAGAGATCAACATTCTTAGCATCCTTTGTCAGAGATATAATGAAGATGTGCAAGCAAGGAAGCTGATGATGTCATAATGTGTTGGCATGGGGTAAGAGTTTGCGCTTGTTCCTGCAGCCATTGAGAAGGCCCTCTCCCACGCACACACAAAGCATGCCTGTGAGGGTGGCAGGACCAAGAGAAGGGCCTCCTGCGAAGATCTCAAAACCCAGGTTTGTATGAGCGAAGGCAGTCTTTCAGATAGCTTCAACCTAAACCATAACCAACTCTTTGAATAGTGCCTAGAAACCAGGGCAAGATTTAGGTTTGATGAGGTCCTTAGCTACTGAAGGCAATGGGGACCTTTATACGTCCATCTGTCCTTTGTCAACAAAAAATTGTCGCTGTTTTTTTGTGTTGAATATATGCTATATGGTAATTTATGGACCTAATCGGTATCTAAAGCCATTTGCACATAAGAAAAGATGTATTTTATCAAAGTAATGGTTGAACTGAAATGCAATTAAGAAGTATGTTAATAGTGAAAAGGGACATGGGTGGCACTGTGGGTTAAACCACAGAGCTCAGGCCTTGCCGATCAGAAGATCAGCTGTTCGAATCCCCATGATAGGGTCAGCTCCCGTTGCTCGGTCCCTGCTCCTGCCAACCTAGCAGTTCGAAAGCACGTCAAAGTGCAAGTAGATAAATAGGTACCGCTGCAGCAGGAAGGTAAACGGCGTTTCCATGTGCTGCTCTGGTTTGCCAGAAGCGGCTTAGTCCTGCTGGCCACATGACCCGGAAGCTGTACGCTGGCTCCCTCAGCCAGTAAAGTGAGATGAGCGCCGCAACCCCAGAGTCGGTCACAACTGGACCTAATGGTCAGGGGTCCCTTTACCTTTACCTTTATTTTAATAGTGAAATACACACTGCTGCTGTATGTAGGTTTTATTTGTTTTTTTACCTTATATTTTGGAAATGTACATTCAGGTTTTCTTTCCTTTACATTTTTTGGGCGGGCCCCAGGAGAGTGGGGCCCTAAACTACAGCTTGTTTAACTTATACGTAAATCTGGCACTACTGGAAACAGACAGGTAGCCAGTCAAACTACTGTAGCAAAGGAGTCATATAGGTTGTATAGGAACAAGGGAGTTCCTACAGATGAGATGCCCCTCCTGCCTAGTTTTCATAGATTAGGTGAGTCGAGTTTACCCTATGAACTACACTGACTAGCAGAACCTCTGCACTATTTCAGGCTAGGGTTTCAACCAGTCCTACCTACAGATGCCTGGGACCTTCTGCATTCAAAGTAGAAGCTCCACTGGAGAGCCATGAGGTACAGTTCTACACAAGTACAGTGGTACCTCGGGTTAAGTACTTAATTCATTCTGGGGGTCCGTTCTTAACCTGAAACTGTTCTTAACCTGAAGCACCACTTTAGCTAATGGGGCCTCCCGCTGCCACCACGCTGCCGGAGCACGATTTCTGTTCTCATCCTGAAGCAAAGTTCTTAACCCGAGGTACTATTTCTGGGTTAGCAGAGTCTGTAATCTGAAGCGTCTGTAACCTGAAGCATATGTAACCCGAGGTACCACTGTATGTGACTGGAACCTGCATCTGTTGTGTACTGTGTACATAAACCCAGCCAGGGAGACACGTTTGCCATCAATCAAGCATCTATTCTGTGACTGTCTCATAAAAGAATGTGTCGAGGAGAGTTGCCTTCCCCTTTTGCCCCAAGCGAAACAGAAGTTTTTACCTGTCAACAGTGATGTTTTCTCTCTCTCTCTCTTTCCTGGCTTGAAAATGAACGGTGGTTTCCCCTCAGCCCGCCAAACTGAAGGCTTAGGGCTTTGGGTCTATTGCTATGATCTCACTGCACTGCTTTAATTGGGAGGCAATAGAGACAAGGGGTAAGTTACCCTGGTGGGTGTTTTAACCACTCGCATACCCAGATGAAAATGAGCAAGGGGGCAAATTTGCCTCGTGGGGCCCAGATAACAGCTCCGTTCATTTCAAGCCAAATTGGATACACCCAGTGAGCCTCAAAGCCCCTTCCTGCCCACCCATATTTCTGTTCCAGGAAAGGAGGGAGGTCACTGCCCCACTTCTCCTGCTGGTATCCTGCTGTGGCTGGATTGTGCCATGGGGCATGCTGTCATGGATGCAACATAGATGCTGGCAGTGGGCAGGGGGAGAGGGAGACCACCTCCCTCTCTTTGATTTCTGTCACGGTCCGATCTACAGGCAATCGAAATCCCGGCTGAGGACAGGACCGGGGGCAAGATGGTGGGGTGGGAGCAGGAATGAAAGTCCAGAAGTCAGGGGTCCGAGGGTCAGGAAGCAGGGAGTCACGAAGTCAAGGGTCCGAGGGTCGAGAAGCAAGAAGCCAAATGCAGCAAGGCAGGAAACAAGTTGCTGTGGCAAAGAGCCAAAGGGAAATGCTGAACTTATATCCCTTCCTAGCTCTTGCCACCAGGTGCAGTGAGTTACCAAGTGACCTCACCTGTGCGGCCGCGCCACCTGCATCGTTCTACCCGGACGCTGAGGTCCAGCACCGAGGGCCTTCTGGCTGTTCCTTCGCTGCGAGAAGCCAAGTTACACGAAACCAGGCAGAGGGCCTTCTTGGTAGTGGCACCCACCTTGTGGAACGCCCTCCCACCAGATGTCAAAGAGAAAAATAACTAAATAACGTTTAGAAGACATCTGAAGGCAGCCCTGTTTAGGGAAGCTTTTAATGTTTAATAGGTTATTGTATTTTAGTGTTTTGTTGGAAGCCGCCCAGAGTGGCTGGGGAAACCCAGCCAGCTTGGCGGGGTATAAATAATAAATTATTATTATTATTACCTCTCCAGAACAAACTTAGGAAGGCCCCAGTCCTGCAAAGCCCTAGTGGCTCTTGCACGCACTCCTGACAATTTCAGTGCCACCACCGAGTGACAATCACGGAGGAAAGGAGCACTTAAGTTGTTTTGCAGCTCAGATTCCTTTAGAGTAGGGGTAGGGGCTTCCTTTTCACACATCAAGGGCCAAACCAGCTCCTGGGGAACCTCCTGGGGGGCCACATGCTAGCGGTAGGCAAAACTGGAACCAAAAGTGGGCAGAGCAACAACTGTAAACTTGACTGCTGTGCAGCATAGCTCAGTGGTAGAGCATCTGCCTTGCAAGCAGAAGGCCACGGGTTCAGTCCTCAGCATCTCCAAGTAGAGTTGAGAGAAACTCCTGCCTGAAATCTTGGAGAGCCGCTTCCAGGCAATGCAGAGCTAGATAGACCAATGAACCGGAAGGCACTATCCTGAGTTTCTAGACTAGCTTGTACGCACACTCACACACTTCTCTGTATCCAGAAACATTTGAAGAGGGCGCAAAGCATGGTTGGAGAGGGATATAGCGCTGGAGAAAATCATGAGGTCCAGATGGAGAGGAAAGTGGGGGCCAGACCCCTGGGTCTAAGGGTCCTCACCCTTGTAGAAGTCAGCATTGCTCCCCTACCAGAGAGGAATGGCAAGTTAAGCTGATGGACTATGCTGAAATGGCACCGCTGACTGGAAAACTCAGGAACCAACAGGACAAAACCTTTAAAAAAGAATGGGGGGGGGATTATAATATATCTAGGAGACCACTGCAAGCAGATGGAAACATTAGCAGGATTTGAAACCCACTTCTAATGTAACAAATACTATGGATTGATTTAAAATATAGAATATGGAATAATATGCAGCTGTAAATGTTGACAATAGGACCCGTGGAGGGGATGGGGGGAAGTCTGGAGATTCAGAGTAATCTCTAGATATGGATATGCATTTGGAATGTTACAAATTTGTATTTGTAACATCAAATATAAATGATTTCGAGAAAAAAGAAGAAGTCAGCATTGTTCGCCTTGTATTTGAAGCAGCTCCTGAAAGTGCTTGAAGTCTGTCTTTCCAAGCCAGGCGACATTCAGCAACATCAGTGATAACACACCAACACCAACAATAATAACAGTGACACTCTCTGGTGCTTTTAAGCAGCCTTCTCCCACCAGCTATCACTTTCTGACCACCCCTGACACATTTGCAATGGCTCGCCCCTCCTCTCCTTCTGCTGTATCGATTCACTCTGCAATAGCCTGCCTTGCACAGCCTTCTGAAGCAGGGTGTGTTACTATGCTGGCCAAAAGACTTTCCTTTTTAATAGAATATTTAATAGAATGTTTAATCTCCAAATGGATCTCTGGCTGCACTTATTCCAGAATGGCTGAAACTCAAACACATTCAGCAACATTTACTATCTGAAGAGGCATTTATGGGGAGGGATGTAAGGGAAGAATCAACCCGGCCATCACCTGGGTGTAGCCCCACAATTTAATAGCCAAGAGGGTGTTATTCTTTTGCTTAAAGGTATGGTAGAAAAGAGAGAGAGAGCATTGTCTTATTGTAGGCTGCCTTATAGTACATGTCCAAATGAATATCATCAGCTGCAGCCTGAGCTTAAAGAAGGGTGGGGAACCTTCTGTCTAAATTCTAACAGATGCCTGACCTCTGTTGTCTGTGCTCTGGTAACCTGTAGGTTGGACTACTGCCTTTGAAGATGGTTCAGAAACTGCAACTGGTACAAAATTCAGCAGCCAGATTGTTAACCAGGGTAGGACAGATGGAACACAAAAAACCAATTCTGGCACAAATGCGTCATTTAACCATTAGCTTCCCAGCTTAATTCAAAGGGCAGGGTTTGACCTATAAAGCCTCATGACCCAAATACCTTAAGGACCACTTCTTCCCATGTGAGGCAACATCAAGCCCTGAAATTGCCATCTGAGACCCTTTTTCGTGTTCCCCTTCCATCAGAGATTCTGAGGAGGGCAGCATGGCTGCATATGGCGCAAGGGATAAATGTTGCCCAGGTCTTTCAAGCAGCTGACAAATAGTTGAGCCTGGTAAAGAGACCCCTGACCATTAGGTCCAGTCGTGACCGACTCTGGGGTTGCGGCGCTCATCTCACTTTATTGGCCAAGGGAGCCGGCGTACAGCTTCCGGGTCATGTGGCCAGCATGACTAAGCCGCTTCTGGCGAACCAGAGCAGCGCATGGAAACGCCGTTTACCTTCCAGCTGGAGCGGTACCTATTTATCTACTTGCACTTTGACGTGCTTTCAAACTGCTAGGTTGGCAGGAGCAGGGACCAAGCAACGGGAGCTCACCCCGTTGCGGGGATTCGAACCGCTGACCTTCTGATCGGCAAGTCCTAGGCTCTGTGGTTTAACCCACAGTGCCACCTGCGTCCCTAGTTGAGCCTGACTTGATTGCTAAAGACAAAGAGATGGACTTCAGAATCTGGTTATGCTGCTGAATTACCAAGAGGAGACTAAAGGTAGAAAACTATAGAATAAGGAACAGAGAAAAGGGAGGGGGCACCACCTGGAATAGTAAATGGCTTGTGCCCAGCCCAACAATCCAGGCTGACAAAATGTTATTGCAGGGGTCACTTTCCTTGCTGCTGTTCCTTTTGGAAAGTCAGGGAGAGATTTATTATGTCTGAAAGTCTCCGCAGCTTGTCAGATCTAAGCGCTAAGAAAAATAGGAGCTTACATTAGAACTGGAAGCTCAGGTTTTGACTGCAAGCAGGAGCAGACATCTATAGCTGACTCATCTGAAACCAAGCAAGGAATCGTCTTCCTTCAAGATCACTTCCACTACACAAAAACAAAAATCAGTTTGGGTTTACTGTTTTTGTTGGGGAGTGTGTATCCAGGTGTGCATGTTAACTGGATGCCTATGCAGATAACATGTTATTCAGTAACAGAGATGCCATCAAGACTGAGGGGGTCTGGTGACTGCTTGGCCTTCTCTGCCCCCTCAACATTGAGGGGACCTGGGGCCCTGCCAACAGATATTGAGGGGGCCAAAGAAACACTGGCTCTATAGAGTTTGCACACCTGTCCAGGAATTTGCTACTATCTGATTAGCTCCTATATATGGGAAGGAAAAGCCCCAAATGGCCATCTCACACTTGAAAAGCATTGGGCTTTGTGTATATGCCTGGTATTCCGGATATGCAAGAGAAGCAGGCGTGGGTCTCCAGAACATGGCAAATCAACAGAAAATGCCCTATGTATTAGCACAAAAAAACTTGTAAGAATATCATATGAGCACTGATCCAGAGCATATTTCCTACAGCGTTTATATTTACTTACATCTTGTTAAGAAACTGAACTGCATCCTTCTCATATTAATTCTTACAAGTGTGGCTGATGAAGAATTGATCAAGACTGGCTGATGAAGCATTGAACGAAACAGATTGGTTATCAGGAAACTCTGTTCCGGTGATATTTGGTGACAGATTATGTATAAATCAAACTCTTGAATTATTCCACTGCATCTGCTAAAGAAGATTTAGAGACTTTAGATGCATTTTCTGATCATTTGTATTAGTCTATACATAGTGTTTAGTGCCATTGTTATTGGCCATCGTGTTGTGTTATTTTGTTTAGCTTAGCTGAGATGCCGGCTGTGATGGCCTGGGATTCAGACTTGGAGGCTGAACCTGAGGGATCCCAGCCTGCACAGGATTCCCCACCTCCAGAACCAGCTGAACCGGGGCTGGGGCATGAGCCTGAAGGGTCCTCACCTGTGCTGGATCCTCAGGTGCAGGCATCAGCTGAGTCTGCTCTGGCTCCTGAGGTGATGGAGGACCCATTGCCTGCAGGTGCTCCACTCTCAGCCCCATCAGAGGAAGCTGAGGTTGCCTCTGGGTCCGGTAACCCTCCATCCTCTCCTGAGCTGCAGAGACTCAAGGCAGAGAGGCGGAGGGAACTAAGTTCCCGCAGGAGGAGTGCTCACCTCCAGGCCAGGAGAGGCGAGTCACCAGAGGATCAGGGCAGATAAAAGCCAGCCAGCCAGCCCCAGTCCCAAGTTGCGGGAGCAACATTGTTGGTTGCTAGTTCCTGCCTGAACCCTGTCCTGCTTTTCTGCCTGAGCTCCTGACCCACCCAGGCTCCCTGCTTGCAAGCCTGTTCCTGACTTCACCCGACTCCCTGCCCTGCACCCAGCTTCAGCTGCTATGGACTGCCTCCACATTGCACCTTTGACCATGGACCGGACTTGGACCTCGCCTCTTGGGTAACCTAGGGGACCAGCACACCAGCATTGCAGGGGGTTTGAGTAGATGACACTTGGGGTCCCTTCCAACTCTACAATTCTATGATTATTTATATGCCACCCATGTGACTGGGTTGCCCCAGCCACTCTGGGCGGCTTCCAGCAAAATATAAAACCACAATAAAGCATCAAACATTAAAAACTCCCCGGTACATGTACATGGATACAATCCAGGAAGGATCAACATGGAGGTGATAGTTCATGTTAAACCTTACGCATCGTCCTTTTGTGTGCAAAGGGCCACATCCAGAAGCAATGTCTCTCTGAATGTGTATCTTATTCTATCTGAACCCTGCCTTCCCCAGATTGGAGCAAAACTCCATGTCCCTATAGTATCTCATTCATGATCAACTAAAAAATGTCACCCAGTGGCCTTACCATCAATACTAATTGGGAGCATTTCTCGAGAGGATGCAGAAGGAGTGGGCATCCCACAAATCACGTTGTAACTCGCTCTGATAGTGTTGCCATAAATACTGTGGGAAGCACAAGTGGGCTAGGGAAGCATGACCTTTCAGCAACGCTTAAACAAATTGTTGTTGACAGTGTTCTTTTACAAGGAACAGGCTAGGATTTATAGCGGCTCGACAGCCCATTGGGAAATGTTCTGTGCTTCCCCTGTCTTACATGCAGGAAAGACCCCCACATAACTGTGCGGTGACCACAACGTTTCCTTTCAAGACTGCACATTTGTGAAAGAGGAATAGTCATCTGGTGTGAGTAGCATATATAATTTTATAGATGTGCAGGACTGAAAAGACAAATAAGCTTTGCTCGTATTGAGTTTGACTGGAAGTGAGTCTAATCAGTTTCCCTAGAACCAAAGAAACAGCCCAGCTTATGGTTACTAGATGTCCCCGTTTCCTGGGGACAGTCCCCAGATTTACTACTCTGTCCCTGGACAAAATCTGTCCCTGGAATGTCCCCGGATTTCATTTAATGTCCCCAGATTTATATTTTAAGTGTTGTAGATTTATTAATAGGGAATGAATGTTGTGTGATTGGTTCAATGGCACAAGACACATCACATGGGGAGTTCCGGTGAGGCAAAATGGCGGGTGCCATGGTAGCGAGCAGCTCCTGAAGTCAGCCAGAGCCAACTGCGCTATGAGGCTGGCTCCAAGCTGCTGAGACCGCTGCTGCTGCTGCTGCCACTGCCACTGCCACTGCTAAGAGGGAACCAGGGACGCCCAGCACATCAACTGGGGGAATTACTGATCCCCCTCCCCGAACCCATATCAAGTCAGGAGCGAGAGCGCCTAGCTTCCCGGCTGACTGCCCAGCGGCACTCCAGGACCAGTAAAAAAACCCAGAGCTGACACAGTGAGAAGGAGGAGAGGAGAAGGAAAAGGAAGAGAGAGAAAGAGAAAAGAGAAAAAAGAGGGGAGCCCCGACCTTTCCATGCTGCTGCTGCCGCTGCCGCTGAGGAGGGGGGGTAGGAGAACACCAGGAGGACAAGGACACATGGCCGAGTCCAGGACCGACCCGAGCCTCCGCCATGGTGGCTAGCGCTCCAAGAGAGCAGACCAGGGCCTAGAGGAAGGCCGTGCGATAGAGGAGACCACAGAAGAGAGTGTATTACTTCTTAAGTTGTTTTTTTTTTAAAAAAAAAAATTAAATTCTTTTTGGGGGGAAAAAGTGTCCTCGGATTCTTTGAAAAAAATCTGGTAACCTTAGCCCAGCTCATTTTGGAGCCCTTGAGATCCACTAAGCCTGCATTCAGACAGCACTTTAGTCAATCTTAACAATGTTTCCTTACCAGTTCATTTTCACATTTTAGCCGTTCTTTCACATAATGCAAAAAAAAAACCCAACAACAAAAAACCAACAACAACCCACTTCTGGGAATCTAACAGAACTTTAGCACTCATTTCTCCGAATCCATTTGCAACCTCATTTAAATCACAGGAGTTTTGCTTTGACAAAATGTAGGGTAACATAAAATTCTTTCCCACAATTTAGAATTTAGCGGAGCGCCGTCCTGTAACACAACAAGGCACTGCAGTGTAAAAAGGAATGTTAGAAATCAGGAAAGAAGCAGTATAAAAACACAATAAAACATTTTTTAAAAAAATTCCTTCCCTATACAGGGCTGCCTTCAGACAACTTCTAAAGGTTATATAATTACTCATCTCCTTGGCTCGGGGGTTGCATAACTCCATACCTTCCAACATTTCTCTGATGAAAACAGGGATGTCCTAAGCATGAGCAGGGGACGGGGGGCAGCTAAATCCCCCCTAAAGTAAATAAATGGAAAAAATTAACTAACTGACCAATCACGTCACAGATAGCTCAGTTCTGCCTCACCCTCAACAAAAGTCCCCCCATCCAAACATAAATCCTAGCTATGCCCATGGTCCTAAGGAAAAGCAGGACATTGCAGCATCCAGTCAGAAACCAGGGACAGTTTCTGTAAATTCAGGACTGACCCTGGAAAACAGTGACACTTAGAGGGGCTGATATTTTGGCATCACACAATGCCACTGTTCTTGGTGCTAAGGCATTTTTTCAAAGTACAGTAGCAGGAACTATACAGAGGGAGGTTGCCGGGTGAATCTTCCTTAACAGAGCAAGTTAGTTGTGGTTGTTTAGTCGTGTCCGACTCTTCGTGACCCCATGGACCAGAGCACGCCAGGCACTCCTGTCTTCCACTGCCTCCTGCAGTTTAGTCAAACTCATGCTGCTAGCTTCAAGAACACTGCCCATCCATCTCGTCCTCCATCATCCCCTTCTCCTTGTGCCCTCCATCTTTCCCAACATCAGGGTCTTTTCCAGGGAGTCTTCTCTTCTCATGAGGTGGCCAAAGTATTGGAGTCTCAGCTTCAGGATCTGTTCTTCCAGTGAGCACTGATTTCCTTAAGAATGGATAGGTTTGATCTTCTTGCAGTCCATGGGACTCTCAAGGGTCTCCTCCAGCACCTTAATTCAAAAGCATCCATTCTTCAGCGATCAGCCTTCTTTATGGTCCAGCTCTCACTTCCATACATCACTACTGGGAAAACCATAGCTTTAACTATACGGACCTTTGTTGGCAAGGTGATGTCTCTGCTTTTTAAGATGTTGTCTATGTTAGTAGCCACCACAAAAAAGCCCTTCTCCACAGCCTACTTGATATCACTTCAGTAAATGGAGGAACAATGAAAAAAAAGTCAAACCCACTGTTTTCCAGAAACTGGGAACATTGCTCTGTAAGACATTTGACTTTGGCTTATATGTTGTGGTTGCCATCCATGGACAACGGGGTTACTGAAAATGGCGGTTAAATTTTCTGCTGAGCGTTTTTGCCCGGCTTTTCATCTCACAATGGGCAGGCTTCCTTTTAGTTTTTATTTCCAGCGTTGAAATGAAGGGAAAAGAAGAGAGGCAGCGAGGGGAGAATGGATGAGAGAATGTGACTTGTCTGAGGACGTGCAACTAAGAAGAGGAAATAAATGTTTCATGAGCATGTCTTGGAAGTATCTTGTGTCGAGATACTTAGGACAAGAGACGGCATGTCTTACAAACACTGTGAGGAACAGTGGTACGTTCGACTGTATGAGAAAATTTGGGCAGAGGAGGGAATCAGGAGCTGTGTTTATTTGCTTTTCCCCCTCCCCCAACCCCGCTCTGTGTTACGAAACAAATCTCTTTCTTTGCTCTAAAAGGTGGAGAGGAAAAGTAGAGAAGGGAGTACCAAAAGCCAAGACTGTACGGCAGTGAGCAAAGGAACAGGCGACGAGGGATTATTTTACACTCTTCCCCGTGGGGAATTATCTGCCTCCATTCTATAGCATCTTTGTTTGTCCTTCCCCTGCTTATGTGGTTTACACATAGAGTGGGCTTTGTCTCTCTGCCGAAAACTGTTATCATGTTACCTTTAAAATTTGGCATTCAGCAAGGGGGGGGGGTCAATGGTGCCACTCTTTGGATAGCATGGATGACTTCATTAGCGAAATAGAACTGTGGGAACAAATTCTCTCAATAACCTTCAAGCACAAAAGAGAGAGAGATTTCTTATTTAAAAAGGGAAAAGTGCATTCATCTTAATATGCATGCTAGTTATAGAACATTTCAAGAAACATTTATTGTGCTTTGCCAAACTGGATCAGCAGTATTAGTTCTATGAATCACTTGCAGAATATAATGCAACTTGTATTCTGTGTTTTGACTTTCTTTACAAACAACCAGACCTGCAAGGAAGATGTTGAGACTCTGGCCACGATCTGTTTCTTGCAGAGTTGTCCCATCAGTGGAACTGCCATCAAGGGTGTTGACGATGCCACAGCTATGGGAATGGACAAATCTGTCAAAATTGGTTTTCCAGTTTTGCAGACTTAAGTACAACTTGCCATTTCCCCCCATCAGTTTGCCTGTGGTCCTCAGGACTATTTCTCTGCGTTTAAGTGTTCATTTATCCAAACATGCACATTTTTGCATGCAATCAGTATACAAATTTTACAAGCAACCCCCCTCCAAGAATGCAGTTTTGTATGTTATTTTCATTAAGGCGAACATTTTTGTGTACACATCACCCTAATATGCACACATTTTTGGGTCGGAGAGCTGTGTTGCAGAATTTCAGAGAAGTGCACATTTTGAAGGATGGCTGCATTTCCATTTGTGCACTGAAATGTGAATTCAGTAAAATATGAACCCAACAAATTTCTCCCCCATTCCTACATACCACCGTAAAGCAAAGTCCCATTTCTTTGCCTCTTTAAATAATAGATGAAAACTTACGCCATGCCAAAAATCCCCCAGATTTGTTTGTTTTCCCACTCAAAATTAATGTTTGGGGAAGGTGAACTCCCTCACTCTCCCCGCAAAATGCAACCCTTTATTTATGTGACAGCTTGCAATTGTTTTACATCCACTGTTATTTTAATGGATTCAGATCACAAGAAAGGAGAGTCTGATAAAATATTAGGGAGAACTTCCTGCGAGGAAGAACTGTTCAACAATGGAATGGTCTCCCTCAGAAGGTGATAGATTTTCCTTCTTTGAAGGTTTTTAAGCAGAGATTGAATGGCCATCTGTAAGACATTCTTTGGCTGTGATTCCTGCATTGCAGAATGACCCTTAGGCATAGCTGTCAACTTGTCCCTTTTCTTGCGAGGAATCCTATTCAGAATAAGGGAATTTCCCTTTAAAAAAGGGAAACGTTGACAGCTATGCCCTTAGGGTCCCTTCCAACTCTACAATTCTATGGTTCTGTTAATGATTTTGTTCTCTGCTGTTGCTTTGACCACCATTTTTTACTCCCTGTGTCATTCCTTCTCATGTGATCCGAGGTAATCAGTTAACAAGGACTGGGTGCAGATGACAGCACAATACTATGTAGCCAATCAGGGAACAAGGACTGGATGCAGATGACAGCTCAATACTATGTAGCCAATCAGGGAACAAGGACTGGGTGCAGATGACAGCACAATACTATGTAGCCAATCAGGGAACAAGCACTAGATGCAGATTCCAGCACAATGCTATGTAGCCAATCAGGGAACGAGCACTGGATGCAGATGACAGCTCAATACTATGTAGCCAATCAGGGAACAAGCACTAGATGCAGATTCCAGCACAATGCTATGTAGCCAATCAGGGAACAAGTAGTGGGTGCAGATGACAGCACAATACTATGTAGCCAATCAGGGAACGAGCACTGGATGCAGATTCCAGCACAATGCTACGTAGCCAATCAAGGAACAAGGACTGGATGCAGATGACAGCACAATACTATGTAGCCAATCAAGGAACAAGGACTGGATGCAGATGACAGCTCAATACTATGTAGCCAATCAGGGAACAAGCACTAGATGCAGATTCCAGCACAATGCTATGTAGCCAATCATGGAACAAGCACTGGATGCAGATGCCAGCACAATACTATGTAGCCAATCAGGGAACAAGCACTAGATGCAGATTCCAGCACAATACTATGTAGCCAATCAGGGAACAAGTAGTGGATGCAGATTCCAGCACAATACTATGTGGCCAATCAGGGAACAAGCACTAGATGCAGATTCCATCACAATGCTACGTAGCCAAACAGGGAACAAGTAGTGGGTGCAGATGACAGCACAATACTATGTAGCCAATCAGGGAACAAGTAGTGGATGCAGATGACAGCACAATACTATGTGGCCAATCAGGGAACAAGTAGTGGATGCAGATGACAGCACAATACTATGTGGCCAATCAGAGAACAAGTAGTGGATGCAGATGACAGCACAATACTATGTAGCCAATCAGGGAACAAGTAGTGGGTGCAGATGACAGCACAATACTATGTAGCCAATCAGGGAACAAGCACTAGATGCAGATTCCAGCACAATGCTACGTAGCCAATCAAGGAACAAGGACTGGATGCAGATGACAGCACAATACTATGTAGCCAATCAAGGAACAAGGACTGGATGCAGATGACAGCTCAATACTATGTAGCCAATCAGGGAACAAGCACTAGATGCAGATTCCGAGCACAATACTATGTAGCCAATCAGGGAACAAGTAGTGGATGCAGATGACAGCACAATACTATGTGGCCAATCAGAGAACAAGTAGTGGATGCAGATGACAGCACAATACTATGTAGCCAATCAGGGAACGAGCACTGGATGCAGATGACAGCACAATACTATGTAGCCAATCAGGGAACAAGTACTGGGTGCAGATGTCACTAGAACCAAATGAATCCCATTCAATTATGGGGAATGCCTATTCTACCGGTCACATGAACATAAGATGTGCTTTACTGGATCAGGCCAATGGCCCATCTCGTCCACCATCCTGTTCTCAGAGATAGCTATGGGAAACCTTCAAGCTCTCTTGCTCCTCCCCAAATATGCCCTTTATCCTAGGGCACTTCCACCTGACTCCTCTCCTTCCTCCTCCTCTCCAGCTTCCCATCCCATTCTGACACCAGAAGAAGGTATATACGTAAAACATTATCTGTATAAAAATGCACACACTGTGCCTTATTGGGCGGGTGGAAGTGCAAAGCAAGGGAAGGAGGGAGCTTGCTTCTAATCAAGATTAAGGGTCAAGGTTGGCACCAGAAGAGGGGGGGGACCTTTGTGGGTATGCTTGATAAGGACATGCCATTAGCATCCTTAGAGTTAGGTAAAGGTAAAGGGACCACTGACCATTAGGTCCAGTCGTGGCCGACTCTGGGGTTGCGGCGCTCATCTCGCCTTATTGGCCGAGGGAGCCAACGTACAGCTTCCGGGTCATGTGGCCAGCATGACTAAGCCGCTTCTGGCAAACCAGAGCAGCGCACGGAAATGCCGTTTACCTTCCCGCCAGAGTGGTACCTATTTATCTACTTGCACTTTGACGTGCTTTCGAACTGCTAGGTGGGCAGGAGCAGGGACCGAGCAACGGGAGCTCACCCCGTCGCGGGGATTCGAACCACGACCTTCTGATTGGCAAATCCTAGGCTCTGTGATTCAACCCACAACGCCACCCGTGTCCGTCCTTAGAGTGAGCATCAAATAAATAAATAAATAAATGTGCGTCCCATGGGCTGAAAATTAATTGTGTCCGCCCGTTTCTCAATCAGATGACTCCTCCATTGTGCAGCCAGCTGCAATGCAAAATGAAATTGCAGTCAATCACATCCACCCTCTTCTCACAGCGAACCCATATTGTATGCCAGCTTGTTGAGAGACAAGGATTTTTGTTTCCACAGCTACCTGATATGCTCCATGCAGCGGGCCTTGGTATCCCATATCCAACTCCAAATGCTCCGTCCATTGCCCCACGCATACAGAATACCTAACCGGGTTCACATGCTAGGTTTACATGGACATCTTCTCCTGTTATCTCTGCAAGAGAATCCACCCACTACAACAGGTCATGGTCATGGTCAACCAAGTACCACCCCACCTTCCTGCTCTGCAGGAATCACAATGGGTGCATGACTCCAGTTATGAGTGAGTGAGGCTGAATAGGACACCTGCATCATGGATGGGGAGGTCAAAAGTGTTATTGCAACTGTAATAATATACCACCCTTTTTCTTTTTTTAAAAAAAAAGAACACAATGTAAGACACATACCTACACTCTTTTCTTTTCCATTGAAATGTGACATTCAATTAACTGGTTGACATAACATGGGAACATAGAAAGCTACCTTATACTCAGACCATTGACTCATCTAGGTGAACGTTGTCTACTCTGACTCAATCAGGGTCTCTCTCCCAGCCGCACCTGGTGGGGAGTTGAAATAGGGACCTTCTTCATGAAAAACAGATTCTCTGCCACTGAGCTATGGCCCTTCCCAGATATAAGCTGTTTGGATCGGTTTCAGGTATAGTTCCAGGTCTGGGGAGACACACACACATCGCACAAGCATGCTTACCTGTCAGTAGGGGTGGCAGCAGTCCAACCAGTGCCGAGTTTCTGGGTCGGGAGCTGGCGGCCATTTTGAGGTCTCACAAGGCTCACAACAGCGTTGTGGGAAATTAACATGGTGACCATCTCTCAGATCCAGCCTACTGGCATTGCTCAGAACACCAGAAAGGGGCCTTGGCAGATGCCCAAGGATTCTGCCTGCTCATGCCTGGTGTCATCTGTTCATGATACCATGAGAGAGAGAGAGCCAGTGTGGCATAGTGGTTAAGAGCAGTAGACTCATAATCTGGTGAACCGGGATCGCTTCCCTGCTCCTCCACATGCAGCTGCTGGGTGACCTTGGGCTAGTCACACTTCTCTGAAGTCTCTCAGCCTCACTCACCTCACAGAGGTTTTGTTGTGGGGGAGGAAGGGAAAGGAGTTAGCCGCTTTGAGACTAGTGATAAAACGGGATATCAAATCCAAACTCCTCCTCCTCCTCCTCCTCCTCCTCTTCTTCAAAGAAATAACAGATATGTTAAAATTGTCCTGATACGGGGGTGGGAGACATTTTAGTCTTCACAAGCCAGATCCCTATCATGGACCAAACTTGACAGATCGCCAGGTGGCATCTGCCTGCCAATCACATTTCAGGATTCCAGATTCCCAGCTTGATAACACAGTAAGCGTAGGTAATTAAAAAGAAGGTTTTATTGCAAAAACAGATAGCTCCGGATGGCTCTAACAAAGCCTCTGGCATCATTACTCAAGATGACCCTTCTGAAGACTTCTTCTGGCATCGACAGAAGATATTGAACTTTTGCACCTTACGTGTCTTGTTTGCTTCCTGTCTAGCAGACCTCCCATTAGCCAACTGTGTGGACTTACTGGATCAGCTCCAACCTCTTCCTGTTCTGAGAGCTGCCTCTGAGTTTATTCATGCTGTTTTGTGCTTTCTGCAAGCTTTGGCTGTGGTCTAGCCTGCTCTCAGCTGCTGCTTTATCAGCCTGCCCGTCAAGGTCAGGAAGAATTGAAGTCTGCAGCTGCTGGCTCTCCCCTGCCTGACTAACATCTAAGCCTCTCCGTTCCTTGCTGCTTTCTGCAGTTGGCTGCAAACCTTCGCTTGGAGCTGGCTCATTCCTGACATCACATGACAACATTATGACATCACATGATTGTGAGGTGGGCAGCCCCTGATGACTCGCACTCAATTCCTTGTGTTATGAAGTGAAGAAAGAATTCTCTGCCTGTTCTATTCCCTCTGTGCTACCATCAAGATAAGCAAGAGAACAATTTTAAAATGCAGACTTTCATCTCTTGAGATTTGTTTTTCTTTCCTTTTTAATGTCAATGCAG